CTCACTCCTCACCAGGCATTTACCTTGGCTGCAACTACATAGGGTTTGGAAGTCTGACAAGAAGAGAGAGTTGAAACATGTACGTACTCCCAGCAACATAAATACTGTCCCATATTGAATCTACATGGAACAAAAAGCTTAATAATTATATTAATTGCTAGAATGTAAATAGCATTTTAAGGTTTATCCCTCCCACCTTCACCCCCGGGGTGTAGAAGTCTTAAATTCTTAGTTCTCTCCACCATGCACAGAATTTGGGCAGAAATATAAACCGGGCTGAGATATGACTAGAAAATGAACTATAGGGGGTAGCTGGGTGGTGCAGTGAATAGAGCACTGCCCCCCGCCCCGATTCAGGAGGACCCGAATTCAAATCTGGCCTCAGACACATAACACTCACAAGCTACGTGACCCTGGGCAAGTCACTTAACCCCATTGCCTAGACCAAAAAAAAAAAAAGAGCTAGAATATATACGGGAATATAATTCATTTGCAAATTGAATAATCCCAATCTCCCTCCGTCCAACTTATTCTTGGCACAGTATGATAGGATCATATATTTAAAGATGTAAGGGACCTGAGGGGCTGGTTATCTACTGCAGACTCTTCCACGTTTGGACGAGGAAACTGAGGGCCAGTGGTGAAGGCACTTGTCTAAGTGCACACAGGGAGTATATCCACATTTTGCACAAATCAAACACTCTTTCCACTAGATCACGTCACCAATGTAGCCACCATTACTCATCTTCTCAAGCACTTCTTAAAACATTTTAGTAAAGAATTTACTAAAAGCCATTGCACAGGGTTGGCATGATAGGGAATACTAAAAGCCAGGAATCCTTACTCTTATTTTACTTTGATCTTGGTATCCCTAATAGACTTTACTACAGAACGTGGTACACAGTAGGTACTTAATAAATGACGGCTGGACGAGGGTTTCACATGGAACCAAGCCTTTTCTGCTTGGATTTAGAGGATAACTACTAAGAAAACGGGCAAGTTAGAGAAAGGGTTCGATTGTGGCTAAAAATAAGGAAAAATTCTGTATCAATTGGAGTCGTGCACACTGCACATCTTTGCTATGACTTAAATGGATGGCCTAGTGGTCCTGGGCAGAGTGCCTTGTGAATGCAGATATATTCCGCAGAGGTTATACAGCTACATATGGGGGATACTGTGGAGGACAATCATTAGTTAGGGTAATGCCTAGCTATGTAAACTTGGCCAACTACATTTCCTCAACTAAGCTTCAGAATCCAATCTGCAAAATGGGAGGTCGACAGCTGGGAACGGACTAGATTACCTTAAACATCATTCTGGTTGTGGACATTAATAGTTTGTCCTCTTAGCTACCTTCCAACCATGCTAAGATACAGTCATCATAGTGTAATTCACACTGCTCAATTATATATCAATCAATAACCTGGGATATATCAATCTATATAAAGAAACCCTATACAGGTTCATGTACGAGTAGAGAATTAACATTCTCCTGTAGTCCTAAACAAACATACGAAACTTCTTGTTCCGTTAGTCTGACATAACTGTTCCACTTTGTAAAGGAGGAACTAGAGAATTTATGGTTGCAATGATTCCAGAACTGAATGTTATGAGGAACAGTTCCATGGTGATAAATTAAACAGCGGATGTAACATGTTAAGCAAAGAATAAGGGCTAGACCTGTACTTTCATTGTTTTCAACAACTTCCAAATGAGGACTCTGCAACTTATGGTCTTAAGAGACTTATCTAGGGCAACTTACTGAGGTTAGGCAATATATTCAGGGTCTCATTTCCAGTACATAGTAGAGGCAAGCTTTGTATCTAGGTCTTCCTTCCTCCAGCTCTCTAAATAGTGCACTACAGTGCTATTCCATTTAATTGCTATATCTAAAAACTGGTCTGCACATTAACAGGCACTTGTCAAACTGAACAGTCACAAACTGTGACTAAAATGATCTCTTAGAGGCACGATTTTGTAAGGTAACTCTGATGGAGGCTTGATGAGAATTTGCCTGGTCCCTGGAACACAAGCACACCAGACTAGAAAGTGCAACTTCGGCCTTATTAACTACTGTTCTTACCTAGGGATCTCAAATCGCTCTCCTTGAAGCCACTTGCAGAAGTCAGAGCCACAGACAGTACAAACAGACTGATGACAAATAAAGCAAATATAACATTTGATTTGGAGAACAATGCTCTAACCAGCTGAGCTAAGGAGTCACAGAGGAGGCTTGCAGTTCAGACATTAACCATAGTGGTGCTTCACTAGCTCTACCACTGTTCCCTGTTGGTCTCATTAAACACATGTCTTTTATGGCTGTAAATCTCAGAAAAGGGTAAAATATAGTAAAAATTGATATTAGCTGATTTTTTCTTAGTACAATCAACATCCAGTTATTATTTAACTGTTCTATTCCAATAATTTAGCTTGGTTTCTGGTTTTAATACCTTAGGGGGGTTAACAAGATGGCTAACAATATAAAAGGAGAGGAATTCCTTGTATCCCGATAAAATGCTTCAAAAGCACTTTGTTAACTCAATAAGAAAGCATTCTATCCTTCTGGGTGAGAATGAATCTTTTTTTTTTGGGGGGGGGTGGAATGGTGAATGGTGTTGACAAACCAGGTCATATTTTACAGCTACAAGGTTCATGTAATTAAATGATAACTTCCTTCTTTGGAATAGGCCCTAAACTTTTCCTTTTGACAAGTCCCAAAGGCAAGTAGATAAGCCTTCAAAATAAGTTACTTTCAAGGCAAATAAAAACTTACTAGCAGTTCAGAATATCAACTGTGTTAAGTTCTGTAAAACTCAACACTAAATGGTTACATGGCAGAGTGACACTCAAGCCTGTTTTTAATATGGATTTAGCCACTGGTTTTAAGAATTTACATTTGTAACGTTCAAAATTCAAGACTTAAGGCATGATCATAATCCCACAAATTGGTGCTGGCAAATACTGTCACTTGCTGATAGTACCTATGGACATGTACAAATGTGCAAGGCTAACCCTTCTGGTTAATGCTCTTCTTTCCTCAAAAGGACTTCAAAAAATCTTAGCTACTAAATGATTTGTCTAAGAAATTATTTGAGTAACTCTTTGAGAACTGATTATAAGAACATTAGAAAACATTGTAAAGGAACTTCAAGTCTCCCGATACCCTGGTGTCTTCCATTGGCATTTCAGCTTGTAAAAGATAAAAAGTAGGGCAGCTAGGGAGTGTAGTGGATAGAGCCCAGTCCCTGGAGTCAGGAGGACCCAAGTTCAAATTCGGCTTCAGACACATAACACTCACTAGCTGTGTGACTCTGGGCAAGTCACTTAACCCCAACTGCCTCACCAAAAAAAAGAAAAAAAAAGATAAAAGCTCCCCATACTTTTATAATAAGGAAGGGAAAACTCAAAGAATTGCTACCACTGTTGACTCTTTACGGATCTACCAATGCATGACACTGTTAGGAAGGCATCATAATCATTTTATAATGTTCTATCTTGGAAATCTGAAGGGCATTCAATTATTCAACAAGCAGGTAATTAAGTGCCTACAGTGTACACGTGCGACAGAGACAAAAACCAAAAATCTATATCCTTGAATACCTTTCATTCTATTGGGGCAGAGGGCTGCATATAACCTGTAGAAAGGTAAGTAAATACAAAGTAACAGGAGGGACAGAACATCAGCTACTGGGAGAGAAGAGGTTCTGGGTTACAGGCAGTGCTCAAGAGGCAAAGGGGAGGAGGAAGGAGTTCATCCCAGGCACTAGGGAGTCTGTGAAGATATAGAGACTTGGGAGTAAAAATAATGAATGTTAAAGGGAGTCATGCACAAATGAGTTTAGAAATGTAGGAGCTGGATTGTGAAGGGCTTTAAATACCAGGCTGAGCTCCACAAATTAAAGAGGAAAAGGACCCAGGCATGAGGAAAAGCAGAATTATTAAAAAAAAAAAGCATTTTAAAAATGGACAACTTTTAAATCTATTTAAGAACTCTGATCACTATAATGAGAGAACCAATGATGAACTGTACTAAATACACACATACGCTAATGTGGGAATTTGTTTCGCCTAACTATATGTTTTTGTTCCATAGTTTTCTTTTGGGGGGGAATGGGGGAGGGAGGAGGGTAGAATTGAGAGAAAATAAATGCTTGTTAACTGAAAAAAAATGTACTTTAAAAGAAGACAGGGAAGCCAAAATAATAAGATTAAAAAAAAAACACAGGCTAAGGAGTTTTAATTTTATTCCAGAGGCAAAAAGAGCCACTAAAGATTTTAAACAGGAGATTGTTACATCAGACTATATCCTTGAAGCAATATGGGGGATGGATTAGAAAACAGAGAGACTGGAAGCAATGACACCAGGTACGGGGATATTGCACAACCCCAGGTGAGAGAGGTAATGAGCTTGAACTAGAACTGAAGTCATGTGAGTGGGGAGAGGATGTTGTGGATGGTGTTGGGTTGTTTCAGTTGGATCCAACTCCATGACCCATTTGGGATTTTCTTGGTAAAGATATTACAGAGGTTTGCCATTTCTTTGCCCAGCTCATTTTACAGATGAGGAAACTGAGGTAAACAGGGTTACGTGACTTGCCCAGGGGTCTGAGGCCACCTATGAACTCAGGTCTTGACTCCCAGCCTAGTGCTCCATCCATTGAGCCACCTAGCTGCCCTCGACGTGAGAAATATTGTCGAGATAAAACTGAAAAAGAAATGGCAACTGACTGAATGGATACTGGGGGAGGAGGAAAGAGAGACAGTCCAAGACAGCTCAATTTACGAACACTAGAAGGATGGTGGAGCCCTTGAAAGGAAACAGGCTGGCCCTTAGTTCGCTGTGAAACACTCTCAGAAAATCTGCATGCAAGAAAACCTGGGATACAAAAGATAAAGAAGTGAATGTACCTATAGCAGGCTGAAGAGGTACATGAGGAGTTAACAATAAATCCATCCCATGATCTCCTAAGTTTTACAACAGGCAACAATGCAATAAATACTACAGCAACAAATATAGGGATTTGTTTATTAATCTTTTTGGTTTACAAACAAAAGGCACTCAATAACGCTTCTATTTAAGTCTTATAAAAGAGTATTGAGTTACATTTTTATTCTAGGTAACTATCCCTACAACAGGCGAACAGAAAAGGAAGGGTACAAAATCACCGTCTTGAGAGAAATACTTCCCCCTCCCACTCCAAGCTCTATCATCACAGACTCAATGACTATTCATTTCATAAAGCCATTCCTACTTAAGAGAAGGTTTTGCTGTGCTCTTTGTTTTTGTTAATTATGGGGAATATGACTGTTTTCTGTATCAAAATTAATTCATTACAATCACAATGACATTTAAAATGCCAGACTCCAAAACAATATTATAAGGATCCCAGAATGAAAAAAATGTTCTTGAAAAACAAGTTTAGCAACTGGCTCATGTGGAATGAAAGTATGTGCTAATGTTAATGATGGAAAAAACCCCAAAGAGGTCAAGTCAAGGGAGAAAGTAACCTATGACAGAACTGAAATCCACAACCCAACAAGGGGCAAAGCACAGGAGAGGTTTACAACTCTCTCTCAGAGCATTTGTCTGCCCTTGAGGATGGAAGGTCATATCCAGGGCAAAGATGAAGGATCTTTATGCTCCACAATGATGCACGGATTCACAGTTAATTTATTTAACAGCCTTCCTTTAAAAGCAGAGTTTTCAACAGAGAAAGTTAGTGCAGGGGCTTCAGTACCTCCCAGACTTACAATCAGAGGAATTCAGAAGTAGACATACTTTTAAAAGTTATGGTTACAATGAGAACAATGAAACAGCTGAACATACACACGTACATATGTATGTACATACGTACACATAAAACGTGCATAGCTCTGCTCCACTCAATAATTATGGAGCGGTTGCTTCTCCCTCCAAGTTCACATACAAGATACAAAGATAGATCTTAGGAGTCTAGGTATATTTCACAGAAACCATAAATCATACCCATATTAGCATATTTTCAATACAACCAGAATACATTCAGGGAGGTGGTTTAATGCATACAGTAGGAATATTAATTAAGTGGAACAGTTAAAACCACAGGAACCGTCATTTCTTCCATTTTAGACACTGTTCAGGTCTCTCACACCTTGAAAAGGTATGGTCCTGGACCAGAAAGCAAATAGCATTTCAAATAATGAATATGTGTGTGTGTGTGTGTGTGTGTGTGTGTGTGTGGTGTGTGTGTGTGTGTGTGTGTGTGTGTGTGTGTGTGTGTATGTGTGTGTGTGTGTATAGTATCTTTTAAAAGGATGTTTAAAGTTTTTACTACAGAATGTTTGGCTTCAACATGGAAGCATTTTTCATCTCAAGATTATACACCTACACAAAAGAAGGTGTTTTCCTTTACAGTTAGCTTTTCACAACAATAACAAAATAAGCTTTTCAGACATTGGTTTGAAACTGACAAAGAAAATACCAAGGTGCTGATTTTTATGTAATTCTTTTGTGTTGTGAATTGACCTCTTTAAATATATTCAAAGATTCCTTGCTGATGATTTAAATACAGTACAACGTGATCATTTTAATTTGAACACAGTGTTATGCTGAACAAATTGTTAAATGAAAGTTATGTTAAAAGAGTATAATATAGCATTCTACTGAGATTTAAAGAGAAACCATAATGTCATTAAAATATACTTCAACTCTTTCTTATCCCTAGAAGTTTCTATAAATGTATTTCTCCCTAAAGCTAAAACCACATGCACAGAAAATAGACAGTATCTCCAAATTCCGTCAACAGTTTGCTATTAAACATGGTATGTTAATAAACTCCTTTATTTGGATTTAATACACATTATTCTTTGAAGCATTATTCTTTTTTTTCTTGAAGGAATTCAGCTTGCAAGTTAGAAAAGTAGTATATGCTTACACACATCTGTATGTCTGGTAGATGGCATCACTGCTCACAAATACATTCTTTCATAATGCACATTCAGTTTTTGTTGGAAAGAAAGTATATATCTTAAAAATTCTACAAAGACAATTTTATAAAAGGGGTGAACGAAAGGCATGGATAATAAGAATCTAAAGAAATCTTCAGGCTTCAAAAGTTCAAGAGATTCCTACTGGACTAATTTCACGATCCTCCATAAATGGAAAAACTTAGCAGCTGGTATTTCTATTCCTTTTAATATTTTGACTGCTCTGCTGTGTTGCTGTTTTTAATTTCCCTTCAAAAATACATCAAAAAATATACGAATTCTGAAATCCATCAAATCCTGTAGGTCAAGTGGAACATATGGCTAAATTGCCTTTCAATAATAAAATTAAGTAAACTAACTGAATCAATTCCTTAACAACTGAAAAAAAAATTTAAAAAAAAATGACACCATCACATTCATATCTGAGAATTTTCAATAACTTAAAGGATAAAAGTGTGCCATAGTTTAGACAAGATTTTATATAGCACTAAAACATTCCCATGGAAAAGAAAAATAAAGATTTAGTTTGAACAAATAAGTCAATATCTACGTCCAAATAAATGTTCCCATTCAGGTTAAAATTACAATGAAAAATTCACTGTTAAGGCATAGATTTCAATTGATGTGTTTCCAGGGTTGCACAGTTATATTGGTCAGTGGTCCTAATTTTTTCCCATGTTCCTCCCTCCTTGTTCTCCCATACCCAAAACACCCTTCCAGGATAAAAATGTGAAGCCTTGATTGTGTGGTTATCATAAAATTGGCTAATATTGGTTGGAGCCGACATCCACCCGTTTATTTTCTAGGTTTCTGTGAGTAAACACATTTAAATGTTACATAAAATGTACTGTCACTTATTCCACACTCCAGATCTAAGTTGGTTTAACGTCTTGACAAAAAGTGAGATAACTTAAGTACAGGGTTTGTGCAGTTAAGACCACCATATGCATAGATGTCCTAATGCTAAATTCTTTTCTTCAGTATCTCATAGTGCTGGATGCTCTAAAGTAGGACAGGAACTTATAACACAGACTAACCACAAAGTACCAGATGTTTCTTGCCATTTGTGATCTTGCAATAAAAATACGCCATATCAGAATCACAAGGATAGTATTGAAACCATAACGTATGTTCCTCAACCTAGAAAACAGAACGAAAGAAATAAAAACCAGCTCTTACAAGTCCCAAACATAGTGGATAACTGGAACCTGTATGTGGTTTATAAATCAGTAGTCAAAATTCTATTAATTTTGCTTTATAGAGAAGAAAGAAAAAAAAGCAGTTGAAAGTTCCACAGCTATTCATGCCTTTTTTAAAGGACATGTCTTATGAACATACATTTGTTAATAGTATCCCATCTGCCCCAAGAAATCAGCTTGTTTTATCTTCCTTTTTTCTTGCCCTGAAGCTTGTTTTAATCCTTAGTATTTCTCACAAGCTTTATCTCACTCTGGGCTTACCTGCCTTACATTATCCTTGCCACTTTTTTTGTGGTTTGATTTATGGAGTCTCGTTTCCATATTCTGTTCATGTTCTTTTTGAAGGAAACGTCCTGTGAAACTAGATTGGTCTCTTTAGGTACTTCCCTCACTTTCCTTCCTTCTTTCTCCCTAGAATCATTCATGATTGACAAAATTTTGTTATTAAAAACATCCTATCCTACCTCAGGCAGAATTTCCTTTAAAGGAAATCAAGAAATCATAGCTACTTTGTTTCTAAACTTTCAAAGAAACATTCTTCTAACGTACAAGATACACAGCTGACCCATTTCTCCCAGAATATTAAGAAATCAAAGTAAGCAACGACTTCCTCCTATGGCTCCTGTCACTTCTACTTTACCATCCAGGACATTCTTTTTGATCAGAATTAGGTATGGACTAACAGTTCCCCCAATTTCTTTCACTGTCTTCTAATGGATGAAATTCAAGGATTATTATGAAAGGTTCTTTTTTACCAGCATATGCCCTAGTCATATAAATACCCTATCATTTTTATATCTCGCCTTTAGATTTGTTTTGCAAACTCATTATCCATTTCTTCTATCTAGTTAACTGTTAAATAATACTTCCAAAGGCCAGAATGGATCAGTTCCTTCTATTTCTTGTCAACTCACCAAGGTACTTCTAAAGAGGATGATCTGCTAAGCATACACTGGGAAATATACACAATAAACTTACTTCAGCATCTGAAACAAAATATCTTCTGAATGTCATGTTGTTCAATTGAAAAAAAAAAGGTAAAAAGACAAACAAAAAAAAATCCTTCTCCAACCCTCTTCCCCACCCCCAAGAAGGATATACAAAAATGAAATTTGCTTTTTGATATATGTTTCCTTTGTCTATAATGTTTTTTTCCTAAAAATTGACATTCTGCATTTCTTGGTATCCTTATAATTATAAGGGACCTAGAAAAAGGTCCCTAAGATGTTTGAGTAGACCCTATAAATAAGTCATACGAGGTAAGAATGTGTGGTTGGGATATGATTTGTACCAATGGAGGACACACTGAAATCAATGATGATAGGTCCACTAAAGATTGCTATAATAATCTTATTTGTTCAGTAATACTGGGGACGGGACACATCATAATTTTTATAATAATTTACCAAAATACATCTTATAATAAGGAACAAATTTTAAAAGATCAATGTGGAAAAGCGGCATTTTTTCCCTTAAATTAGAGGTAATCTGACAAATCTATAAAGTTTCAGTGGAATTATAAGGCATATTTCCTTCTAGGTCACTAAACTTTCATTTTGGATACACACAGATTACATTCAGTCCGAGACAAGAGTTTATCAGCCTTCTAAGAGATTACACACCATATACAGGATGATATAACAACAACTCCATGCAAACCTACTTGTTCAAGTGTTTCCGTGCTGCAGGCAGACCCGACATTTCTTCATTCAATACATATTTCTTAGTTCCCATGCAGTAGTTTTCTATATATTCTGCCCAGTGCAACTGTCGCACATCTATATTAAATGTCTGCATAAAGCAATGTTTTTACTATTAGTTTGTCATGTGAGAATCATTTTAATCAGAACATAACCAAAAGAAAAACTTCACTTTCTAAATAATTACAACAGAGACAGAAATAAAATTAATGCCAACAATCATATCCTTATGACCACAAATAGGCTTTCCTTCCTCCCATCAATGTAGTAGCAGAAAAAGTTTGCAAAATGGGGTGAATCTTCATATTAGAAACAGAGGTAGAATCCCATTTGAACAATTATAGTTTTCTCTTTTTATCACCTAATACTAAGAGGGTCCTTCTGTACCCTCCCTCTCCCTTTTAAGTGTCCTCCTTCTGGCTGGCTCCAGACTGCTTGAACTATGTTGTTTTTTGTCTTTGGATCTAAGGTAAAGTATTTTGTATATGTAGCAGATTCTCAAGAAATGTTTCTTGAATTTAATCATTTGCAGACTGGCCAAGATGGAAGAATACGAAGAGGAGGCAGTAGAAGTTGAACTCTCTTCCACAAAGATCTAGAAAATGTCCTGAGTCCAAATTAGAAAATCTGTCTCTTTTCTAAATCCCATCTAGAAAGGTTAGATCACCAAGTGGGGAAGAAGTGAGTAATATATTTGGAAAGAAAAATGACATAAAAACAAAAGACACAAATAAAAATAATTCTTAAAAAAAAAAAAGGAACAAAGAAAGAAAAAATCATAGCGAGTTAATTTTTCCAGACTAAGTTGGCACAGGGAAACAGTTAGAGGTCTCTGTGGACACTGAAAATGGGGTCTAGTGAAGAGCATGGAAGAAATTACCTGTCAGATCGATGGATAGAGAGTTTGTGATGAAACAAGAGATATTAAAGTTTTTGCACAAATAAAACTAATGTAGCTAAAATTAAAAGAGAATCAGGGGACTGAGGAAAAATTCTTGTAGCCAACTTTTGTGATGAAGGTCTCATTTCTAAGTTGTAAAGGAAAATGACTGAAATTTGTAAAAATAAAAGCCATTTCCCAATTAAGAAATGGTCAAAGGATATGAATAAGCTGTTTTTAGAGGAAGAAATCCAAGCTATCAATAGCCACATAAAAATGAACCAAATTACTAATAATTAGAGAAATGCAAATTAAAGTAACTCTGAGGTTTTATCTCACATTCATCAGTTTGGCAAAGTTGATAAAAAGGAGAGATGACAAATGTTCAGGAGGCTGTAGGAAAACAGGTGTATTATTGCAGTTGCTGGTGGAGCTCTATGAACTGGCATAGTCATTCCAGAAAACAATTTGGAACTATGATCAAAAAGTTACTAATCTTTCCGTCCATACCACTTTGACCCCGACACACTGATACTAGGACTGTACTCTAAAGAAAGCAAAGAGACAAAGGACTCATAGGTACAACAATACTTATAGCAGTTCTTTTTGCGGTAGCAAAGAACTGGAAAGTAAGGGAGTGCCAATAAAATGGGGAATGGATGAACAAGTGATGATATATGAATGAGATGGAAAACTATTGTGCTGTAAGAAAAGACGAAGGGGGCAGTTTCAGAGAAACTTGGGAAGACTCATATGAACTAATGCAAAGTGGAGTAAACAGAATCAGGAGAACCATTTATAAAACAACAATATTGTAAAGACAGATAACTGAAAAACAGAAGAATTCTGATCAACCAATGACCAATCAAGATCCCAAAAGACTCGGGCTGAAAAATGCCACCTGCCTCCTGACAAAGAGATGATGGTCTCGGGGCATATATATTTTTTGAACATGACCAATGTAGGGATTTGTTTTGCTTGATCAGGCATATGTTGTTAGGAGGGTATTGTTTTTCTTTTTTCAATGGGTGGGGAAGTGGAAACGAATACGGATTTTTGTTAATTGAGAAAAGCATTTTTTAATTTAAATAAAAAGGGAACAAAAAACTTAATCTCTTGCATCCCCTTGACACAACTTGAAAATAAAACCAGACAGTGTTGCAACAGAAAAAAATCTCACTTTTTAAAAGATCAAACTCAATTATAATGAACTGCTTGGGTCACTGAGTTTTAGTTTCTTCTTTTTTTCCCCCACTACTGTACTTAAATTTTATACAAATCAACAGAAGAGCTGAAAGATAAATAGAACTGATAGCTAGTTTCTATGTAGTGAATCATAAAAGTGGGAAAAGTACTTTGACTTTGGTAGGTGAATAAGGAGCACTGAGAGTTTAGGTGCAGCTAATTTCTTGGGTAAAGCAAGTAGAGAGGTGAGGGATGTTGAAGGGTAATTACTACCTGACAGCAAAAAACAATAAAGGTGGGAAAAGAAGGCAGCTCTCCTAACCTCAACCAGGCACTATCGTTAGTGATTCTTGCATGGGTAAGGAACAGAGAAAGCATTTATCTTATGTTATTCATTCTAGAGAATTATAAGCAAATAAGCCAATCTCTATGACATAGTAATACAGCAAACACTCCAATTGCCTGGAACTTAAGATATCTACTACTCTAACATGCCTAGGACAGCTATAAATCCAGAAATAAAGAAAAAGGCTTCCAAGTGTAAGTATTAACAAAAAGAGCTGATGATTCAAAGACTAAATAATAAACACTCTCATTAAGTTATAAAGGTTGGTAGCACCAAAGTCAAGAAACATGGGGAAAAAAAGAGACAGAAGAAGAAAAGTATCAGAGGAGGGAAAGAAAGGCAGCAGAAATGGCAATGGAAGAATGGAAGCACTGACAGAGGGAAGAGAATTCAAATCCAAGGACCAAAACAGAATGCAGGTGGCATATCAAAAATCTGTATCAACCAGAAGCCATATTAACATACCAAAACATACCAGGGCCTAGGAGTCTGCTCCCTACTCTAAGCTGAATAAAGCAGTCTGTGCCAATATTATGTTAACTCAGCAGCAGATTATAATAGCTCTGCAACAAAATAGCTACGCATACCCTAGTAACACATTCCTAAGACACAGATTCCAAACTTCTTCTAACAGAAGGCATTGGTAAGAGAAATATAACAAGGCTATGCACTTCAATAGTCTGTGTTTTCATCATCAGTGTCACTGCATCTTTAAAATGAAGGGAATGGCCCCAAGTTCCTTCCAGTCTAGCACTATGAACCTGTGACCTTAACAGATGATCTTTATGAGCTGCTGTTACTAAAGAGAATCTGTCAAATGGTGTCCAACCCTTTGATGATAAGCCTCTCTGAATTCAGATACAGGCTGATCGTGGGATGACACTCAATCTGTCACAAGCCGTTCCAGTCTGATAGGACCTAAGAGAGTTTGTACTTCACTAAAGTCTTTTACAATCTAGAGTCTCATTCATACATCAATAAGATACTGGGGAGGAAAGACTGAGATCAGGAGTTATAAGCTACACTAATTCTAGCACCACTATGGTGAGCCACAGGAGTAGAAGCCTAAAGAGGCTCAAACTGGCCTTGGTCAGTATTGGGCTCAGATCCATGAGTGGCTACTACCCTTCTAGCCTGGGTGATGGTCTGAAAACAAACAAAGGCTGGAAGTTATGTGACTTATGTGACAAAATGGGAATCTCAAAACCATTTAAAAGAATTTTTTTTAAATGTGAGAGTAGACATTTTTAAAAATTAGGACAATATTGGTTCATTTGTATTATATGGTAATAGAGCTCAACTAGGATAGCTGGTCAAATTCCTTATAGACTGTACCTCAGTACAGTCTAAAGCTGTTAAATTTTGCTGTATTCTACAAAGGATTCAAATGCATACAGAGCTTTGATTTCTAAAAGATAAGAGGATGTTCCTATTTTTGTCCCAACAAAACTATATGGCTAAATGAAACAGTAATTTTTTTTAATCAACAAAGGTAGCTGACTGAACTATGCATCTCTTGTGAGCAAGACCTAACATAAGAAAGCTTGATAGCTCCAATTAAAGCAAAAGCAAAATCCAACTATTTGTAACAATTTGGTGGCTTTTCCAGATCTTTTTTGAACATGGAATCTCTCCTTAGCAACCTTATATTTAATGATAATACTTGCCAAATCCAACCCTAGCAACTGACTATAAAATACTTTTCTCCCATTCCATGTATGAACAAAAAGGGCAGAAAACAAGTTCACCATTCTCAAAAGCGCCATTGTAAAGGGTTTTGGCAGTTTGTTGTCTTTAGACTTTCAAAGGTGTTACATATTTATTACTAACAGAGTACAAACTATTGCCTGAGTGGACAAAGGAATATTTTCTGATTTCTTGCATTACATTTTTGCACAAATGAACATTTGAAAGAATATTTAAGAACTGGAGGTGTATGTGAAATCAGCAAAGCTCATTTTCTTGCTGGACAAACAGAAAGCTCCCTCTGAGTAAGCTGGCTTAGTTTTCCCTCCAACAAGGGATTCCTTCCAATCTCCACTCATGCTGTACAACTTCATCTGTCCTCTCCAAAGTTCATTACAGAGGCCCAGCCAACACTCCAGGTCTTCCTCACTTTCTTCCAACGTCCTAAGAGTGACAGTAGAGTTCTGCAGCTTTGTTTACTGCCCTCACCTTACATTATGGCCAATCCTTTATGATGTCTGCTACCTCTGTCTTATGGAGTTTTGTGCTGGTCACAAGTTGCAGCCCACTCCAATCTACCATGCACTTTTCCACCACCCTCTGTGGTATACTCATTTTTATTCATCAGAGTCAATGGTATTGTTACAAGTCTCCCAAGTAAACCAGCAATTCTGATAAAATGCATGTACTGAAAAGAAGGGCTGGGACTTCCAGGTCATATGATCAACAAAATGAAAGACTCAACATTTTTTCCCGTCTCCGCCAACTCCCCAAAAACCCTCAATGAGGAAGTATGTGTCAGAAGCAAAGGAATCACAGCTGTTTCCAAGACAAGTAAGCAAGAAGCCCAACCACGTTAACAGATTTATAACTTCACAGTGGAGAACACTACCCCCCTAAAACAGGGGTGAGGAACCTGAGGCCTTGAGGCCTTCTAGGTCTTTGGGTGAGGCCTTTTGACTGAGTCCAAGTTTTATAGAACAAATATTTTTAT